TGGCGAACGGTTCCTGGCAAACATAGCATGTTCGCGTTCGCCACGGCGGGCGAACATATGCGCGGTTCGACCCGCCCCCTATTCGTCATCATTGAGTAAGCTTTGACCCTGTACCTCACAGTCAGCAGACACATTCCAGCCAATTAGCAGCACAGCCTCCCTAGCAGACCCTCCCACCTACTGGACAGCATCCATTTTAGATTCATTCTCAAGCTGCATGCTTAGTGAGAGGAGGGAAAGTGTAGCTGCTGTTGATTAGATAGGGAAATGCATAGCTAGGTTAGGGTATACAGTGTCCACTACAGTCCTGAAGGACTCATCTGATCTCTACTGTAAGGACAGCACCCCAAAAAGCCCTTTTTAGGGCTAGAACATCAGTCTGCTTTTTTTTTTTCTGTGTAATGTAATTGCAGTTAGTTGTCTGCCAGCTTCTGTGTCAGGCTCACAGTGGACTGTGACCAGTGCCACCACTCACTCACTGGTGTCACAATAGCTTGCACTTAAAAACAAAAAACTTTTTTCACTGTTATAGATTGAATAGCAGTTAGTTGTCTCAAAGCGGGTGTGTCAGGCTCACAGTGGATAATGTGCCCAGTGCCACCACTCACTCACTGGTGTCACAATTGTGATACTTATTTTTTAATTGGAACACAACTGCAGAGTTTCCTAATTGAAGTAATTGCTAGATTCACCTCTTTTTATATTGAAAAAGGAGTAATTACTATTACCTTAATTACACATGTAGCTTAGAATTTGTGTGTAACTAAAAGAATCTGTTAATTTTCAGATGTCACTTAAATTCCCTTCTGTAGAATCAATAGTAATAAATGAAGCAGGAGAAGTTGTAATTATAATTGAGTTGATTATTGGAGGGTGAATTATTGTTATAAGTAGATCAATTAGAATAAGAAACTTAATTAGAGAGAATGACACAGTGGATTAATTGGAACAGAAATACTTAACTTAATAAGGCAAGTTCTGGAACTTTAAGGGTTATTTTCACCCGATGGAATGAGAAGATAGTCCATTAAGCAAGCCGTGGTCTAGGAGTGGAGAGAGGAGAAGTCCGTTTAGCAATCCGTGGTTTTAGGAGTGGAGAGAGTGGAAGTCCGTTTAGCAATCCGTGGTCTAGGAGTGGAGAGAGTGGAAGTCCGTTTAGCAATCCGTGGTCTAGGAGTGGAGAGAGTGGAAGTCCGTTTAGCAATCCGTGGTCTTGGAGTGAAGAGAGTGGAAGTCCGTTTAGCAATCCGTGGCCTTGGAGTGAAGAGAGTGGAAGTCCGTTTAGCAATCCGTGGTTTGATACAGGCAGGATGGAGTAAAACAGCTGATCACTTTTCAGGTACCTGTGTAATAATCCAGCGTTTTGAATCTGGCGCGGTCTCCCTAAGTATCGTGGAGGGACCGCGTCAGAGAAAGGGGAGGAACTAAGCGCCGTGAACCCGGAAGTGGGTTCTTACGGCGAATGTATTTTAAGTTATACCTGACAGTACCCCCTTCT